TGTTATAAAAGTTACAAATAATCATAAAATCATATCAATATGAAATTTATTTAATGGATATTCGGATTGTATATATATATATATATATATAATAATAATAATATCATTTAAAGTAAACTATTTACCATATAAAAATACATAAATATGTTAATTTCAAAATTTGCATTAAAAGTATTGAGGTCTAATAGTTTAATTTTTGAAATTGTTATTGAATCTTTTAAAAATGATTATAAATTACTAAAACTATTAAAAATCTCACATTGAATATTTTGTGATTAATGGTTTAATTTTTTAGTACAAATATATACAAATATTAATAAAATTCTGTGAGTATAAAGTACCAATTAATAAATATTCATATGAAAATATACCATTTATCTATGTCAATATCATTTAAATTTAATTATATACCATATACACAAATAAAATGATCGTTTTGATTTATTTACATTGTAAATAAACAAAAATGGTTCTTCTGATATATTTTGTATTCAAATTTAATTATATACATAACAGTTACTTGCTTCTCAATTATTTAATAGATTTATTATATTATAATATGTACAAAAAAATAGTAATTTTCTCTATTAAAAGAGAAGTATCATTTATATCTACTACAAAAAGTCATGTTGGACCATCTCATTAATATGACATAATTAATTATTTATATTAATCAATCAAATATATATATTCGGAGGAATATTTTAATAATTAATAAGATATTAGTAATAAATTTGTTGAGAAAATATCTAAAAAGATTTTACTAAAAAGTTTAAATATTTTTATAAAATATACATTATTTAATTTCGTGATTAATATATATAAATATCTTTATTAATGTTAATTAAAAATAAATTTTTTATATTTTATAATTTAGTTATATTCTATATTATATTAAAATAAAATGCTATGTGAAATGAATATAAAATATATTAAATTGGTATAGGAAAATATTTTATTTTTAAAAAAATCTTTTATTAAATTAAATAAATAAGTATCACTCACTTTTAAAACATATTAAATTTTTTAAATCATATAATATTTTTATAAAAATGTTACCATATATTTTTGTAACTCACAACAAATACATTATATAAAAATTATATATGAATATTTTTTTTATTTTAAAACTTACAACAATATATTATATAAAAATAATTAAAATTATAAGATTATACAATTATACAATATATAACAAGAGAATGTAAATCATATCTATTTGAAAGGTTTTGTTATATTTATATAAAATGAAAAATACCCGCACAGATGTGCGGGTTCAAAATATAGTTTATAAAATTAATTCGTATATATGTCATTGTTAAAGATTAAAAGCTATTGTAAATAATCTATTGTTTAATTTTTTTTTGTCAACTATTGTTTAATTAATACATAATATTTAGAGTGATTTGCGTCAATATACAAGAAACGAAAGATATTTAGGTACAAAAGCGGTAAACTTTTTAATTTGGTATGGTAGTAAACACGTGGTTCTGGAACTTACCACTTTGTCCCTATCACTAATATGAAATTAAACTGAATATGTATTGGATGTCAGAGGCAAGTGACGTAGTGCTAAATTATTAACAATTTATGATCAATATTTTATTAGGCCTTTATACTACTATTAATCTGGATATTTTTTTTAAAGGAACAATTCTGCATCATCATCAGCAGCAAATTTTAATCCACAACACATAGTTCCATCTGTCGGATCAATTCTCCACCATCATCATCAAAAGGAATAAACCGATCATTAATGAATCTTTCTCAAGATCGAAATACCCAGAAAAATTTCAGATTTAAGTCAGTTTCAGACAATAAGAGAGTTATGTCAAACAGATTTCAAAAGAGAATCAATAAAGAGGAAATTGTGTAGACACTACTTATAAAAATAGAAATGAAAATTTTTAAATTAAGAAAACTATCTTAATCAGATTTATTCTTACAGGAACACACCAAAATCAAACAGGTAATAGATCAGAAGAAGAAGAAAAAACACTGCTGGATCTCAATGCATGTTACTCCACAGAGATAACACCGACGCATAAACTGAGAAGATCGAAAAGCAAAAAAACAAAATTTTCAATTATCAGCAAGTTATCACCTTTTGATTTTCTATCTAAGTTCAATAGAAAACAAGCGACCACATCTTGCCAGAGACTTTTCGATAGTTTAACAAAAATCAGGTACATTTAGAAAAATAAAGAGTGTTATAAAGCAAGTGAGAAGAAAACAATTATTTTCCCGAGAATATCTAGGAAAGAAAAAAACTGGTGAAGTGATTTAAAGAGAAGAAGAATAAGAAATGGAAAGTGGAGTAGAAATAGAAAATTTAGAGATCTTGAATCCGGAAAAAGTGGAGTAGAAGAGAGAGAGAACTTAATAGTAGGGGCATCATGAGAATTTTTGAAATAGAAACAGTACACATACCACATAGCTAAATAATCTTTATTCTGTGTATATAGGATGCAATTACTCTAATATTTAATTAATCTATTAAAAATTAAAATTTACATTATGGCTGCTTTATGATGCCCTTAGCCCAGAAAACTATTAATTGTTAGTGAAACATACCAATATAATAATAATATATAAATAAATAATTAGCAAAACTATTTTTCAACCAAAAATAATAAGTTGCAAAAAAGGTCCAAGTTCTAAATGGGTTAAATGTGGCCTGTGGGCACATTAGTGTGCTAGTAATAAGATTAGGGCCATGAACATAATTAAAAGCCTGTGGAAACATTAGTGTGCTAGTCATAAGATTAGTGTTCTAGTAATAAGATTAAGCCCATGAACATCAAATTTAAAAGAATTAGACGGACGAGCCCGAATTTTAAAATACTCCATAGTCAACGGCTAACATCAATAACCGAATTCAGTCAATTTTTCTCTTTATTAATAAAAGAAATTTCACAACAATATACTAATGTATCTTATGAAAGATCATATGTGATTAGATGAACGTGGAAAATTAAACCGATACGTAAATTTGTCAATGAAGTTCATTTTTTGCTTATTCCTTAAGACCGGATCCAGATAAACCTCATATAAATCTTGCAGTCCAAGCAATAGCGGAACCTCTAGCAAGCACCATAAGCTATTGCATGATCCGCTATACAAAGATGACCAGGAAATAATATGACGTAGTTTGATTTCTAGAATTTTTACTTTATTTCGAAAGAAAACAAATCTGGTCTATGTTTTTGTCGTGAGATTCAACAAACAAAATTGTAACACTGATTTATGATATCAGAACATACTATTTCCAGCCTTCTATCGTCTTGATGCAATAAGGAGACTCTTCTCAAAACTTGATGACAACATAAAGACATGTCAAAGTCATAAAATTTGGTCTGACTCCTATATTTTGGCTGGTCTTCACACTAATATATATATATATATATATATATATATATATATATATATATTGTATAACGTGAACTAGCAATGAAACAGTGAGCAGAATGATTATCACTAATTACGAAGCTGTTGAATTCTCAGACTAAACAAATTTTTTTCTTTCAGAAGCTCACTTTTGTGCATTTGTCAAATCAAAATATTAAAATAAGCACAACCTAATGTAAAATTTTGGCTTTACAACGTTTACAAGTCAAGTACGCTATAGTTTTTCATGCGCCCCAAGAGTGATTAATGCGTAACCGGATAAATTTTTCAAGATGACTGGTCAATTAAAATTTGACTCTCAATTTCATTTGAATAAGGATCAAACAGAAAATAGGACATAAGGGGATGGTTGAGACGTTACAACTAGGTATGGGATCTAATAATGTTTACATGAAATTGTATAAGAATATCAGACATTACGATTAATTAGGTTTCTAGATGATACGACCATTAGACTTACAGGAATGAAGGATCATTTCAATATTTTCTTGCTTATAATATATGGTAAGGTGAAACGATTCTTTGACCTTGCGGAATCCAAATGGTGAAATTTCTCTTCTTTATAATTTTTTTAAAAAAATTGGTGAAATTTTATCTAACCACACTTAATAATTACTTTTTGACTAATGGTCTGAAATTTTTCAGAAAGTGCTCCTCTCCTAGGCAGGAAAGTAACGCAAGACTTAAGGTATTGTTTTCAGTATTGGTTTTCATCACCTTTTTCTTGATGGTTGTTCTTCTGTCAATAACACTTGAATTTGCAGATAAACTTTCCAACAAATAAGATATATAAAAGTAAATTATATACTAACTCAGACTAGAATTTGATAAATATATTTTTAGCAAATGTCATAGCTTTAATTGTGTAAAGTTATTCTTCTTTCGTTTAATATTTCTCCCTTCATTTGTTTTTGTTTTTGTTTTGTTTGTTTTTTGAGAAAGGGCTTATACCTTCATTTGTTGCTTTTTAAAATTAAGAGGTAACTGGGAAAAATCTAGCAAACAAGGAATTACGTTTAATATTTTAATAATTGACGAGAAGGTTGTATGTCAAAGTTCCTAATTTATTTTCATCGGCACTGAAGTTTGAGAATGATTTGTCAAACTTTCTGATATCATGATATTGATTAGCAATGAAAATTGTCATTAATACAGCAGAAGCATTAAATTTTCAATTATACTATACTTAAAATTTTCTATTATGTCTGCTCAATGGATTGGACAGTTAATGATTCAGATGTGAAATTGCATCTTCATTACACTACTTCAAAAGTAATAAACTGTGTGCCATATCCTTGTAAACCATTGACACATGAATGAACGCAATAAATCCCACTGTGTTTTTTTTCTATTTTTTACTGGAAGTGGTAACCGATTTGGTGATGAAAAATTGGGCTTGATTCACACCTGCTTTCTGTTCCCATATTAAATATAAACAAATTTCCATGAGAGTCAAAGTTGTCGTCTGGAAGGAAGAGAGCATGGGAAGTCATCTGGACTAGTACCCCAACGTTTTAACATATCCGTACAAAATCGTCGGTCTTCACAAGTATTTATAGTTGCATGTGTTTCCCAACAAAAATGCGTAATAACGTGTCTACAATTTAAACACTAAACCCCATTTCTCTTCGTTTTCCCTCCTCAAGAAGACAAAACCAAAGATGGATAACTCATCAACCCGATGCATCTTCTTTGTGCTCATTATATTCACCTTCGTTTCGCTTTCTACTGCTGCTTCAAGTCATGGAGAAGTTGGTAAGTATAAGTTTTGAGATATTATATTTTTATATTGGTTGGCAAACATGAACCGTTTTTAATTGTGATATGTAGAGGACGAACACGAGTTTAACTACAAGAAGAACGATGATAAGGGGCCAGAGAGATGGGGGGAAATTAAACCGGAATGGGAGATGTGTGGAAAAGGAGAGATACAATCTCCCATTGATCTGATGAACGAGAGGGTTAAGATTGTTTCTCATCTTGGAAGGCTTAATAGAGACTATGAACCTGCCAATGCCACTCTCAAGAACAGAGGCCATGACATTATGGTATACATTTCTCAAAAAAAAAAAAATCTAAAAAAATACATTATGGTTTACATATAAAATATCCTGGACACTTAGCTATCTCTATTTAAGCACATGCTTTTTCATTGATTTTGTTGAGTTTCTATCCTTTAACTAGTCAAACATGTAAACCTGAATTGTAGCAACTAAGCCATTGGGATTTGTGTGTTACTAATTAATAGTTGTAACCTTTAATAAACCAACTTCTATTATGTGTTGATATTGTTGAACAGCTAAAATTTGAACATGGAGCAGGAAGTATTACTATCAATGGTTTTCAATATGAACTCCAACAGCTTCACTGGCACTCTCCCTCTGAGCATACAGTCAATGGAAGAAGGTAGCCAATTCACTTTGAGAAAAATAAACATTACACCAAACATCTTGGAACTATCACACACACACATATATATATATATATATATATATATATATAGTTTTAAAAAGCAATAATTCTGTTTGTCCAAAAAAAAAAAAAAAAAGCAATAATTCTGTAACTGTTAAAGTATTATATATTAATAGAATTCTGTTACTATATTATTATTATTATTTTGTTCATTCAAAATATAATATATTAATAGAATTTGACATATATGACACTTGGATATATATTTTTTTCAACGACACTTGGATATATCTAATATACGAAATATGTCATATGCAAACCAGTTTTGCACTTGAGCTGCATATGGTTCACGAAGGCAAGAAGGGTAGAATGGCTGTTGTGACCGTCTTGTACAAGATTGGAAGAGCTGATACTTTTATTAGATCGGTACCCAAAACAAAAAACTAATACTTATCAACTTTTTTTATATTTTAATTATTATCAATAGTAGTAATTGTTTTATTTATTTCTATTTTCTTGTTTGTGCTAGTTGGAGAAGGAACTGGAGGCCATTACTGATTTGGAGGATGCAGAGCTAAACGTAAGGATGATTGATCCCAAACAAATAAAGATCGGAAGCAGAAAATATTACAGATACATTGGTTCACTTACCACTCCTCCTTGTACCCAAAACGTTACTTGGAGCGTGGTTAGAAAGGTATCCTTTAATATTTATCAATCCTCAAATCTTCATGTTTATTGTACTGCATGGTTATTGGTTAATACTTAATAGCAGTGTTTGTTTCCTTAAAATTTCCAGGTCAGGACAGTGACGAGAGAACAAGTGAGACTTCTCCGTGTGGCTGTACACGATGTAAGTTTTATTTTTTCCACTCATCAGTTCACACTTAACAACTAAAGTAATGTCGTATTCTTTAAATATATCATATAACATCATTAGCTTATGTTCTCACATTGATCTCAGTTGCATATCTCCAAGTCAAGATATGAGTCCATAGTGCGTATATGTATATGATAAGATAAGATCATGATGTTTTGTCGTCCAATTTATTCACCACTCAATTCCAGTATTTTGAATAATATTTAACAGGACTCGCTGACGAATGCGAGACCGGTTCAACCAATCAACAAGCGCGTGGTTCACTTATACAGACCAAGAGTTTAGTTGATGAAGAAGACACATTACAAGTTCTTACCAATCTTTAATTCTTCATATATACACAAAAATAATGGTGCACTAGTTACTATACTGTTTTAATGTGTATTTGTTTCTCGTCTACGAAAAATAATGATACTATCAATGTTGCTTTTATGATACCGACTACCTTCTTTGTTTTTTTGAACAACGTGATAACGACTACCTAATTGTATCGTTACGAATAGGACTGGGCATCATTAGTTCATTACTCGATACTCGCCATGTACACGTTATTTGATCCGTATTTGGTGTTGCCAAATCGAATAACAAATCAATAAATTTTATTACTCACAAAAGCAAAATAAGTATCAAGTATCATTTTATTTTTTAATGTCTCGTTACTTAATAACATTATTCGTTTTATGAATACTCGTTACTCATTTTACAAAATATTTGTTACTTGATAAATAATACTTATTACTTTAAAAATAATATTTGTCTTGATTTGATATTAGTTTCATACCAATATTAGTTTAATAAATATGACAACTCATTACTAAATAAGATATTAAACTTGTTATTCGGTTTAAACTCGGTTTTTTAACAATATGCATAAACATTTTTTTTAAGTAATTGTATGTTCTTTTTAGTAGAATAAATAAGTAAATCTTTATGTCCTTTTTAGTATATGATTATTTAGTCATTAATTTTTAAATACTCAAAAATACACGTAAATAATTCACAAGTACTCGTACTTGAATAATAAAGCGAGGTAAGTAATTTATAGGTAACTGATTTTTGATCAAGTACTTGAAATAGCAAATACTCGTTTTTAATAAGTCAAATATAAATCGAAAAATTTATTACTTATACAAGATAAGTTAAGTATCAAATATACGTAAAATAGCGAGTACTCGCCTTGTGTCCAGCCCTAGTTACGAACATGTTATGAGTTGTTAATATGAGGTAAAAAGTGAGTTGTTAACATGGCCCAAAGAGAAACCCAACATGAGCTAAAATAAAGTATTCGTTTAAAAAGCCCAACAAGGCCCATGCGGAAGTTTTGGCGGGTAGTTTAAATAACCGTTAGATGCGATAAGAAGAAGCAATGGCGCTCTCTTATCCTCCTCTCACTGTCCCCTCGTCTCACCCACTCCACTTCCTTCCTTCTTCCTCTGATCCTCCCTACGACATTCTTCGAACCCAACCTTCTCTCTCCCTCCTCTCCAATTGCAAAACCCACCAATCTCTCCGCGAAATCCACGCCCAGATGATCAAAACGGGACTCCACAACACCAACTACGCTCTCAGCAAGCTTCTCGAGCTCTGCGTTGTTTCCCCACACTTCGACGGGCTTCCTTACGCCGTATCAGTTTTCGAAACGATTCAGGAGCCGAACCAGTTGATTTGGAACACGATGCTTCGTGGGCACGCCTCGAGTTCGGACCCTGTTTCAGCTCTTGAGCTCTATGTTCGTATGGTTTCACTTGGGCATCTTCCTAACGCTTACACGTTTCCGTTTCTGTTGAAATCTTGCGCAAAGTCGAAGACTTTTGAGGAAGGGCGACAGATACATGGGCAGGTTATGAAGCTTGGGTGTGATCTTGATCGCTATGTGCACACTTCTTTGATCTCTATGTATGCTAGAAACGGTAGATTGGAAGATGCACGTAAGGTGTTCGATAAAAGTTCTCAAAGAGATGTAGTTTCCTACACAGCGTTGATCACGGGTTATGCGTCGAGAGGTGATGTTCGAAGCGCACGGAAGGTGTTCGATGAAATGTCTGAGAGAGACGTTGTCTCATGGAATGCGATGATTACAGGGTATATCGAAAACGGTGGATATGAAGAAGCGTTAGAGTTTTTTAAAGAGATGATGAGGATGAACGTTAGGCCAGACGAGGGTACATTGGTCAATGTTGTTTCAGCTTGTGCTCAATCTGGTAGTATTGAGTTAGGTCGTCAGGTGCATTCATGGGTTGATGATGATCATGGGTTTGGTTCAAGTCTCAAGATTGCTAATGCCCTCATTGATTTGTACTCAAAATGTGGTGACGTGGATACAGCATCTGGTCTGTTCGAGAGGTTGTCGTACAAGGATGTAATATCCTGGAATACTTTGATCGGTGGTTACACGCATAAGAATCTTTACAAAGAGGCATTGTTGTTGTTTCAGGAGATGTTGAGATCAGGTGAAAGTCCAGACGATGTGACAATGTTAAGTGTTCTTCCTGCTTGTGCACACCTTGGAGCCATAGATATTGGAAGATGGATTCATTTGTACATCGACAAGAAATTAAAGAGTGTTACAAATGGTTCTGCTCTCCGTACCAGCCTCATTGACATGTATGCCAAATGTGGAGACATAGAGGCAGCACAACAAGTGTTCAACAGCATGATCTGTAGAAGCTTGTCGTCTTGGAATGCAATGATATTTGGATTTGCGATGCACGGGAGAGCCAATGCAGCGTTTGATCTTTTCTCGAGGATGAGAAAGAATGGAGTTGAACCAGACGATATCACCTTTATTGGTTTGTTATCTGCTTGTAGCCATTCAGGTTTGTTAGACCTAGGACGCCATATTTTCAAATCAATGACACATGAATACAATATAGCCCCGAAACTAGAGCACTACGGGTGCATGATTGATCTTCTAGGCCATTCAGGTCTATTCAAAGAAGCCGAAGAGATGATACAAAGGATGCCAGTGGAGCCAGATGGAGTGATCTGGTGCTCTCTTCTTAAAGCTTGCAAGAAGCATGGGAATCTTGAACTTGCGGAATCATTTGCACAGAAGCTCATTAAGATTGAACCAGAAAACTCAGGTTCTTATGTACTTCTATCAAACATATACGCCACAGCAGGAAGATGGGAAGATGTAGCAAGAATACGAGCAATACTAAATGGTAAACGTTTGAAGAAAGTTCCTGGTTGCAGCTCTATAGAAATAGATTCCGTGGTTCATGAGTTCATCATTGGGGATAAACTCCATCCACAGAGTAAAGAAATCTACGGAATGTTAGAAGAGATTGATGTGCTACTAGAAGAAGCAGGGTTTGTTCCGGATACTTCTGAAGTGTTGCAAGAGATGGAAGAAGAATGGAAAGAAGGAGCATTGAGACATCACAGCGAGAAGCTAGCTATTGCGTTTGGGTTGATCAGTACCAAACCTGGGACTAAACTTACAATAGTGAAGAATCTAAGAGTGTGCAGGAATTGTCATGAGGCTACAAAGCTTATATCAAAGATATACAAAAGGGAGATTGTTGCTAGAGACAGGACTCGGTTCCACCATTTCAGTGATGGTGTGTGTTCTTGCTGTGACTACTGGTAAAAAAAACACATTAAGAAAAGATGGTAAAAATCTAAGAAGATTCACTTATGTAAGTTAAGTATATACATGTGAAAGAATAGCTTTGGGGGAATCTTTTACTTTGTGTAATTATTTATTTTTCATGAGATAAACTAATTACAAATTTTATTTAACATTTGGAAAGTTGATATTTATACAAAATGGAATTGATTCTGTAGTAACTAGTTTCCTTCTCTGTTAATCAAAGTAAATTAGAATCTTCATAACTACACTTACCTTATCATAGATTGAATTTAAATATATATTTTTTCCTTTGTTGGGTCAAATTAAAAATATAAATTTATTTATTAAAACTACTCTTATTAAACTATAGGATTTTCATAACGACACTTATCTTATTACAGTTGAGTTTAAATAGAAAAAATAATTGAAAACTACTCCTATTTGTTTTATTCGTAAGCTACTCTTATTAGATTGTAGAATGTAAAACTATAAATAATTAGGAAATCACCCGGCGCGTAAACGAGCTAGAGAAAGGATATTTTTTTTTTTTAAATATCTTTATATAATTTATATTTATTGATCAATCATTTTGAATCATTTAATAAACTAATTATTTTGTATGTAGATAAAAAATAAAAAAAATAATCTTATATACAAAAGTGTAAAAATATAATTTGTGTTTGAAAATATGTAAATTTAAATGTTATGTATTTAGCATAACAAAATTAAGTAACGTAATCGTCTTCAAATATATTTTTTTGTGACTGTTTGACTTCTTCAATTGCTTATGTCCTTTCATTTAGATTGTCACCTTCACTTTGTTTTAGTTCTTTCGATGTATTTGATATTCTTCTTTTCTTTGTTTTATTTCTTTTAGAACCATTGGTTTCCTCCATTCTGTCCGCATTGTCAACAATGTTATTTATTATAACAGGATGTTAAAATGAAATATAAGTTTGTTAATTTTCTTTATAATTTTTTCTGATTTTTATTTTCAAAAAATTATATTCCAAATATATTATACCTCTTCATTAATACTTTGGTTGTCTGCGATACTTGTAACCGTTAATCCAGCTGAACTTGACAGATAATTGCAGGATGTGATCTTAGCATTGAATTTGAAAAAAAAAAATCTGATAAGATTTTCTAAAAACTAGAAGGTAATTGCATTATCACTTGGATCATTGTATATATGACTGTTCCCGCATCTAGTAATTTTAAAAATTAATTTCTGATTATACACCATAGTTTAATAATTATTGTTAGTATTATACTTACGTGAAATTGAATTAAGCATGTTGCTGATTTACCCAAAATACATTTCATGTCTTTGTTGAATGTGGTTAATAAATCTGAATTCAAGTTATTTTTGATAACAATCTCAATTTTATACATATTTTAATGTCTTTGGTATTAATAGTAATAAAACTACAAAATTTTGTTTTTCTTTGTTACAATAATATGCCAACAATATATGATTTTGTGCATTTTTTTCAATTAAGTTTTTCATCTCTTTTCATAAATATTTTAGTGCAATGATTACATGATATGTAATTTCATCTTTTTCTTGAACTAATTTCAATAATTTCCCCTTTAAAAGATAAACTCTTTTTTCCTAATAATCAAAGTTGCACAATAAGTTTAGGTTGTATATAATTACTAGTTTATTAATTTTTAAAAAGAATTGAAATGTATTTTTTTACCTCAAACAAATCTTTGGCAACGAAATCTATAATGTCTCTAATTTTAAAAAAAGTCATCATTTGTTTTTCTTAAATTGCTTTCATTCTTCACTTGTATTTAAGATGTTCTGTATTGATCACAATTTACTTAAATTTCATATTATAAATGATATATATTTTAATTAGAATTACCCTTTTAGGAAAGAGTGAATAGTAGTTAATAGATGATCTTGATATATTTTGGAAGTGGACTTTGTGTTTAAGTACAAATAACATATAATCCATGTTGTTAATTTTTAATATATTATTGTTAAAATTTGTTAGAAATTTATTAATATGAAATATGGCTTTTTATATAAACCTGAATATGTTTTAGGATTCACACTTGTTATATTAGAATAACATCATATGTTTCCCTATTTATCATCTGTTTTTGGTACATATCTACCATATTGTCCCATATAGTAATACACATTTTGCTTCCTCTGTTATATAGTTATTATTGTAATAATTTAGTTATTTTTTTAAAAATGTGAATAGAAATTTTTTTGAAATAGATGTGCAAGTTAATATAAATTTTAATTTTATGTGTAATACCAAACATTTATATCAACTATTGTATAATTTGGATGTGCTAATTGATTGTTTACAAAATCTAATAAAATTATGGTTACTAACACTTATAATTGTAGGTCAAGGTTTATTCTTATTTTCCCAGTACATGGTACTGTATCATCTATATTTATTTTTCTTCAACAATTACATAAATAACATCTGCATATAAGAATTTATATATAAGCATACAATTGATATGTTTATAACTTTTGGGTATGTGTATTATACCATTACCATCATAAGATAAATTCTTGTCTGAAATTTTCATAATTTGATCATAATCACGGAATCAGAATTTTTCGCAATTTATTTGTACAATTTTTTCTCATATCAGCGTTATTCATGAATTTGCATTCAACCATATTTTAAAAGAATGGTATGAAATTTTATACCCCACCTGCCTTTCCTACTTCAAAATCCTTGAAGATATATCTTTTGCCTTTTAAGTTCCAGGGAAAATTAATGAATGTGACAAGCATAGATTGATCTCATGATTGTTGAATCATATATTTCATTAGATTGCCAAAATTCTTTGACGGTTTCATGTTTTATGTTGAACTAAAACATCTTTTTCGCCTATGGTGGTAGAAAAAATCACCAATTATTAAGTCAGTCATTTCAATAGCAGATGACAATTCATATTGTCTTTTTCTTTTATCATATCCTACCATATAAATTTTCATTTCTGCATTATTTACCAGTTTCATATTTATCTCTAGCTTTTTTTTTAAATATTTCTAGTACATTATTTTCATCAAGCATTTTTATTAGTGATGATAATATTTGTGTATTTACTGATTCTTTTACTTCTCGATTCATGATTGAAAGTATGTTTTTTATTTCCTTGGATGTATCAAATATATACAACAGTAAAAATTTGGCATTCTCCTCATCCACATGTAAAATGATACATTATTGTGATAATTTTCACCATGAACCTTAAAGCAAAAAAGAACCACTAGAATTTAGTATTGAACAATCTATGTCAGCACTCATAGAACACATAAACAATAAACAATTAAACACTCTAATATTACTCTTAAATGAAGGATCACATAACAAATTTTTGAATACTATAAGTGGCTCACGAATCATGGGTACTTTGATACGCCTTGTTTACAATAAATAGAAAATAATGGACGTTTGGTTAATTAATCTTTTTCGTACTTTCGACAAACCATACTAACGCATCACAGTCACTGCAACGCATGAGTTTTTGTAAATTATTACTTTCGACCATTATTTTTTTACTATTTACCAATAAATGAAAACGGTTATTAGTACACATAAATTCAAAACATTAAAATTACTAACTAATGATTCCTTAATACCTTTGTGTGTCTGATAATATACTTTATATTTTCGTTTTCTTGCATCTATAAAAAATAATAATTAAATAATATCTTATATCGACTGTGTATGGTAGAAAAAACAAAATTAAGCAAACTTGTGGATAATTTTGACTGGTAAGTTTGTTTCCCGCTTTTTTCAGTTTGTTTTTATATCCATAATCATATGAACATATTTTAAAGAGCGATAAAATATGATTATTATTACATATAAAATAACATTACGTTTGCACTCTTCCAATACGTTCGCACCCTTTCGGTAATATTATGTTCTCGTTCCTTCAGAAACGTTACATTCGCATCTTTTTGGTGACATTACATTTGCACCTTTTGATGACATTATATTCACACTCTTTTGGTGATGTTACATTCACACCATTTTGATGACGTTACATTCGCACCTTTTCGGTTATGATACATTCGCACCTTTAGGCCCCGACACGTTCGCACTCTCTCGATCCTGACACGTTCACACATTTTCGGTCTCGACACGTTTGCATTCTTTCGGTCCCGACACGTTCACATCCTTTTGATTCCGACACGTTGCACCATTTTGGTCCCAAACCATTCACACCCTTTCGGTCTCGAATCGTTCGCACCCTTTCGGTCCCGACACGTTCGCACCCTTTCGGTCCCGACACGTTCGCACCCTTTCGGTCCCGACATGTTCGCATCCTATTGATTTATTATTGCAGACACCACATTAAATTTTTAAAGATCATTTAGATCCATATTATGAATCAAACATTATATTCAATAGTATTAAGAATCATACCTATGTTAGAAAAGTAAAGCATACAAATTTTCTTAAAACATTGCAATCTATAAGATGTTCATATCCATAATCATATCAACATATTCTGAAGAGCGCTGAAATATGATTATTATTACATATAATATAACATTACTTTTGCACCCTTTCAATATTTTCGTACCCTTTCGTAAATATTATATTCTCCCTTCTTCACAAACGTTACATTCACACCTTTTTGGTGACGTTACATTTGCCCTTTTCGGCGACATTATATTCGCACTCTTTTGGTGACGTTACATTCACACTCTTTTGATGACGTTACATTTGCACATTTTCGGTTATGATACATTCACACCTTTTTTTATTCTGAATTGTTCGCACCCTTTCGGTCCCAAACCGTTAACACTCTTTCAGTCTCAAACCGTTTCCACCATTTCATTCCCGAACCGTTCGCACCCTTTCGGTCTCGAATCGTTCACACTCTTTTGGCCCTGACACGTTCGCACCCTTTCGGTCCCGACACGTTCACACCCTTTCGGTCCCGACACGTTTGCACCCTTTTCGTCCCGAAACATTCGCATCCTTTCGATCTCGACACGTCACACCCTTCGGTCCTGAACTGTTTGCACCCTTTCGGTCCCGAACCGTTCGCACCCTTTCGGTCCCGACACGTTTGCACCTTTTCAGTCCCGACACATTCGCACCCTTTCGATCCCAACACGTTCGCACCCTTTCGGGCCCGATACGTTCGCACCCTTTTGGTCCCCACACGTTTACACCCTTTGGATCCGAC